CCGTTGAGCTAAAATGTCTCTTCTCATGGGATTCCTATGGGGAGACATGTGGTGGGGGTAAGCTGGGATTGAACTAGCATCCCACTGGTTAGCTGCCAACTTCACTTTCTCTAAGCTGCAGCCCACCCGCCAGACCCGCTACTGTAGGGTTGTTGAGTTTTAGGCTGCAAGCAAACTTACTGCATTCATTTTTTTCTGAATCTGCATAATTTATAGAACTTAAAGTAAAGACCACAGCACTAAAAAAATAAACAAGTCGAACATTTTCAAATGGCTTCCAGAAAAAGGAAAAGGTCTTGCTTTGTCAGTTTCAAGCAGGCTAATTTTAGGTCACACCTAAACTTTAGTTTTAAAGTAAGGAGCGTGTGTGAGCCAACACACACAAATAGGAATGTGGAGATTTATAGTTATGTGTGTGTTGACCCAATAAAACCTCAAATTGTGCTATTAATGTTGCAAGAAGGGTCCTATTGTTTTGGAGAATTGAAGTCATGCAATGAACTGTACAAACCTTATGTTGTAGGTCAGAAACCTTTTTGTTTCTGATCCATAAAAATAATCCTGCAATCCCAAATAAATCTGGCTGAACATCCCAATCCTAAATAAAAAATGTAAAAACATAGATATAACAACACATGAGCAGTGTGAAAACATGTACTTTCATGATTTACTTAATCACTGAAGATCATCTCAACGACTCAAGTTAGTGTTTCATGACCAAAATGGGTGTGACCTCTGGTTTAGGTGATCAGCTGTTGCTCTGTGACAGAAAATAAAGGATTCATTCAATTGGTTTATTTGTATCATTATGTTTTTATCATTAGTCCAAAGGTCTGTGCCTTATTGGTTTAATGGAGTGATTAAGCAGGATGTGTAATGTGTTGTGCGCCATGCCCTAGCTGTCCTGTTAGCATAAACCAGTTCAGCTTTCTGACGGCTGGCACTGCTGGCACACGCTGAGCACCATGAGAATGCTAATAAAAGGAAGTAGACTTCACTGTGACTGACTTGGGTCCAAGAATGACCGCCACTTATCCAAACAGCCTGTCACAGCAACAGCCCTAGCTGGCTGATAAACATGCCTAACACTGTGTTGTGTAGCTGAAGTAATAATTAATAAGGGGAGGGTGATCTTTATGTGACCCATTCTATTTTTTAACAAATAAACAAACAAACTCTAATGTTTATGGTAGTTTCATCTCATTGATTCAATACAACAAACCTTGTTGCATAAACATCCATACCGTTTCCTGTCGTTCTACCTGTTAGCTTGTGCATTTTTATCAACTGAATTCCAGTGAGGTTTAGGATCGTAGAATGACAGACTCAGTCTCCACACCTCAGTCCTAATCAAAGATGTGGACAGAGCAGACGCTTTTGAGATGTCAGGTAGCAGCCAAGAGAACAGGAGTACTTCTTCTTTTCTGTAGTGCTGGCCCATCAGAAACGTTCAACCCTGGCCACCGGCTAAGCGAAACATTTCTCCTAGTCGTATATTTTAGTGGATTCAAATGTGTATTTAAACTTCGTGTTGGTATGGAAATCAACATATTACTATCTTTGGTTGATCTTTTAATTCTCTGTTAAAATGATTTAACAACAAAAATAGAGACCTATAGATTTAGACATTTCACAACAGTTTATTTGTTGGTATTTTGTTTGTGACGTTTTTCTTTCCTCTCATGTTTCCATGTCTGTTACATCATTGTGGCAGCCTGTCACTGGTCTAAGTAGGTTACATTTTCTCCAGCATATAAACTTTGTATTTCTCACAAACATGAGACAGCTCATTTATTCTGAAGTTATCTTCTTCCTTTGGCACTCCTGGCCGGCTCAGGTAACCTTTTAGGATTTATTTTTCCTTATTGCCGCTGTCGGGGATGAGTAGTAATGCAACACACCTTTAGAATGTCAAACCGTCCATGTACTAACTGACTGAAAAAGTAGTGTGTCATCATAAATCCAAACGCACAACCACTGTTGCAACACTTGTCTGTTGATCTTTGTGTCTCTGTTGTGTTTGTTAGGATGAGTGAACACAGCATGCCCAAACTGCAGTCCTTAGGGTTTTATAACTAGACTCATAATGAAGCACACGCATAAGCAACAGTCATTCAGTGACGTGTTTTCATTTGTTCAGTGCTGCTTTTCTTTTATTTAAAGCTTCATGTCTTCCTCAGCCCAAGGATGATGTGCCCACGTTATGACACCAGACCTAGAGGTCTGCTGGAGTTCCGTCTTTTGCTCATTCTACATCAAAGAGACATTTTAGTTATCAGTTTAATATGAAATAAACTAAATTACCGAGTTAGTCACTTAAGCCATTTGAGTCACTTTTTGGACACATAAAACTAATTTACTTGGAGAAGCACCAAAACATGTCAGAATGAGGATGCGGGGGCATGGGCTTTTTAGCTGCCAGACATGTCCCATTTATCCAATTTCATTAGTTATTTTATTTAATTCATGTTATTTTTTTATGCATCTTTGGCAACATAAGCAGAGGCAAGAAGTGCTCTGGTTTATTGAATTAAATAACATGGTTGATATTCTAACTTTGGAAACCCTCACAAACCCAGCTCTGTTCACCTGAGAGCTCTGACCACTGATGAGTGTTTCATCCCAGCCCAGACTTCTATTCTCTCCACTCAGAAAGAGCCGAGCTAATGAGATGTGATGGAAGCAGGGTTTTGCTGATGTGCAGCCAAGGCACGCGGAGTTTCATTACATCTACTCCACTCACATGTACAAATCGGCAAAACTGTCTTTTACAGCAAAATCCCAATTTTATCTATTTTGTTTATTTTAAACATGTTGAACGACTTTGTGTCTGAAAAATGACGGCACACCAATTCTCTGTGTTAAAACTGTCCACATGGAGGCTAAGCTTCTAGCTGTCTGTCTGTCTTTTCCTTTGGTGAAATACCTCGTAAATCACTTGTGCTGGTATCAGCAGATATCCCTTGTGAGTCAAAACATTTCTGTTTCTGCTTATCTGGTCTCCCTGTGAAGGGCAGCGCCCACCATGAACCGTAACTTTCAACTTTCACATGTTTTTTTTTTCTCTACAAACTAACAAGCTGTTTAAACAAATCAAAATGTACTTCAGTTAAAGAGGAGTTGGTCTCTTTATGTTCCGAAGGAGGAGGTGTATATTTACTTAAAGGTGAAAACCCATTGTTAATGATCTATTCTAACTATAATTGGTCACTCTGAGTTTTTTAGGCAGGCCAAACATGAAAGTAGTCTCCTACACCTATCTCCTGCATGAGGTTCTGATAGAAAATAGACAGTAAAACTCTAGGATTAGAAAACCCTGACAGATCTATGTCACACTGTCACATAGCATTCATGGATTCAACCATCTTGACACGACAGGGAAGGCTGTTGATGGTTTAACATCCAGAGAACAGCAGAGAGTGTCTCGACTAGTAGAAGATAACTGTTACCATAAGCAACTCCTCCACACAGCTGAACTCCTCCAGGCTTGTGTTATTTGCAGAGGTAAAACATCAACGCTAGGGAGCAAACAAATTCAGTGGTAGACTCATGCTGCTGTTAGCCAATCAGATGAGAGATGTCCAAATGTCAGGAAATAAGACTCCGAATCAACTCAGCTCAACTCTGATGTGGGATCCTGCTAGTTCCTGAAACAGGTGCATTTGTTTCTTCATTCTTCATTTTTCCGACTTAAGACCATGGTCCCGGATTTAGAAGAGCTGATTCTCATCCCAGCTGCTTCACGCTGTTGCAAAGCGCTCCAGTGAGAGCCGGAGATCACATTCTGATGAAACCAACAGGACCACATCATCTGCAAAAAACAGAGACTCAATCCTCAGGCCACCAAAACGCATCCCCTCAACACCTTGGCTGCACCTAGAAACCCTGTCCGTAAAAGTTATGAGCAGAATGGCTGACAGAGGCCAGCCTTGGTGGAGTCCAACTCTCACCGGAAAAACCCCCGACTTACTGGCAAGGCAAGGCAACTTTATTTATAGAGCACATTTCAAACACAGAGGCAATTCGATACTCTTTATAATTATCAGGACATGATATGAAAACGACAAAGTTACAGCGCAGGTTGCAGTGGAGGAAAAGCAACATAAGAAACCATGCTTTTAAAATTCTGATGAGTACATTAGGCTTTTTAGTTTTGATTTAAACTGCACGAGGGCTGGAGCACATCTGAGGTCAAGGGGAAGCTGATTCCTAATGTGAGCAGCATAGCAACTAAATGCATCTCCACCATGTTTTGTTCTCATCCGTGGTTCTACCAGCTGATTGTTTCCAAGTTATCTCAGAGCCCTAGGTGTATGTATATACAGGAATGAGATCGGACATGCATTTTGGTCCCATGCCATTGAGTTCTTTATAAACTAGAAGAAGCACTTTGAGATCGATTATGTCATTTACTGGTAACCATTGTAGTTAGTAGTTAGTTCATGTTAAGACTCTAGCAGCAGAATTCTGAACAAGCTGCAGTTGCTTCACAGCATCATTGGGACACTCAAACCCCTCCACCACGGTAAGGTGGCAGCCCAGGGAGGGAATATAATAAAATCAATATAAGTTAAAATTGTTAAGGTCTGACGTGAGTGGTTTAGTGCCATTTTAACATATTGGAATAAATTATGTGTTTTGCTTTGTTTTTTTGGGCCTTGTATGTCGCGGTTGATGCACGTTGATGGGTGTATAAATGGAACCCTGATGACTTAAAATACAACTTCTGGTTCTATTTGTATGCGTCTAAGACAAAAAAAAATGTTAAATGTTTCTTTTTCTACCTGATACCTGAAGGGACAATAAGGATTTGCTGACGTGCATTTCTGTAGAAAGAATATCAATGATGTCTTACCTCAAATACATTTCTGTCTAAACCACCTCAGTTTGAAGAATGAACTCATTCATAACCTTCAAAGATGTCTGTCACTGAGAAGTTTTAGTATGTCTGAGTCTTTATAAACACTTTATCTTTGTGTCTCTGCTTGCTGTTCTCCCAGGATGGAATCTTCACCAAGACAGAAGTCGTGCCACATCCAGTGGGGAAGACTGTCGGGCAGTCCTGCTTTGTTGACTTTGGTAGGAAACTGTTTGAATCTAATAGGAAGTAAACAAAACACGATCAGATTAACAAATAACTTCCATTAATAGCTTTTAGTGGTGTTGTTCAAGTTATGTTTCTAAATTTCTGTAGTTGTGTGTGTGTGTGTGTGTGTGTGTGTGTGTGTGTGTGTGTGTGTGTGTGTGTGTGCATCAACTAGGCCACTTCTAAGCTCTTTAAGCTCCGTCTGCATTTGGAGCTGTGTCGCTTCAAAGAATTCAAAATAAGGCTCCCTGGTCTTTTTGGCTTTGACAGTTTTGCTACATCACATAGCACCCCCCCCCCCCCACGCACACACACACACACACACCCTTTACACACTAGCCCTATGTCACACAAAGCTACATGCACACAGTCCTACACAAACTCACTGTCCGATGTAGAGCCAACTTGCTGTGAGCATCTTATCCCTTTAAATAATCTTGGCTTGTAGGATTCATTGTTCAGTTCAGCTTTACATTTATCCTCGAATCTCCACCGGCCCTCTAATCTTCTGGCTGCAGATTGTCCAGTGGTCATCCTTTCACAGCATTCATCTCCACCGTTGTGTGTGTGTGTGTGTGTGTGTGTGTGTGTGTGTGTGTGTGTGTGTGTGTGTGTGTGTGTGCGCGTGCGCGCGTGTGTGTTCGCTAGGGTTGTCACGATACTAAAATTTCAAACTCGATTCGATACTGGGGAAAAAACTCGAAACTCGATTTCGATACTATTTAAAAACACCAGTTTATTGAACAAGTTTATTCAAAAAATATCATTCCTCAATTTATATTGCAAAAATTAAATGTTAAGAATTAAGTGTATTAAGTGCTTAAACCTTTCAAGTATCAGCATTTTTTTAAACGTGCATACAAAAACTGGCGAAAGTTAACACTTTAAATCATGAATTGTCTCACTGTATATACACTATTTGCAGAGTGATGTTTTGCTGCTTAAACTCTGTTTAAGGTGCATTTTTGTCATAAGATGTAATGCCATGTGTTTTGTTCTGTACTTTTGAACAACTCTGTTGGTCAATAAAGGGAGAAAACAAATTTCTCCACAGTAGGACAAAGGTACATCTACCGGTAGTCTTAATAAAAACAGATTGGCGCACGGCAGTGACGTCATTAAACGCGCCGGTTAGATTAGCCGCGGCTAGTCTGTTCACGCCTAGAAATCCCAGACCCGCTCCAAACGAACAGGGGAATCACGTTAATGATTCCTAACTAAACCTTTCGACATGAAGATGTTTTGGTGCAGATAATGTCTTATTTCGAGGCTGCACCATGGGTGCCCGTCCGCACCCGTTATATGGATATACGCTGATGGCGATTCGCCGATGGATCTAAATACCCCGGGGAATCCCAAGTAGCACCAAAGTTGCCAGCGTGAGTAAACAAACGTACTGCATGCTAGAAATTAAGTCCGGGTTGCAATAAACGGGAGTTTTCCTTTAAGCGTATAAGCGTGAATATACAACTACGTGTCGGACTTGGTATGCTAATTAAGTTGGGCTGTGAAGCGCCTCCCAAATTTGCTGTTTATGTTTTTGTTTATTTATTTGGCAGACAAAACTTGGATCGGAGACAACTCGCGTGGGAAATTGCAATGTAGCCATGCGGCGTCTTCTTCTGTTTGTCTGGGAGACAGAGGCTGCTTTACGGCATCTGGCTGTCGTGTGTGTCGGTGTACTTGAAGAAGGCTGTGTATAATAGTCCATAATATCGATACCACAGGGATGGAATATCTCATTTAGATACCACTTTTAGTATCAATTTATATCTAGGTATCGATTTTTTTGACAACACTAGTGTGTGCGTGTGTGCACGCACGCCAAAGAGCAACTGCCAATTGTTGTAACAGCAATACAGAACAGACATGACTAAACAACTCTGATTGCATGGATAGATATTCAAGGTTCATTTTGATTTAACCTCAAACAGGAAATGATCTGCCAGTATTTGTTATATAGCCCCCTCCTCTTCTGACGTCGCCTGTGATCCTGATGACTTATTGAGACTGAAAGTGTCCACCTCTGAGTTCGCCGGTGGTTCAGAAAAAAGAACTGCCCCCCACAGCAATTGTCCCTTAGCAATTTCACAAAATAAACCATTTGCCACTGATCTATTTGTGCACACCTCTGACCAACTCCTACCTACTTTTGACTATTTAGTACCCTCTAGGGTTGTCACGGTATGAAAATTTAACCTCACGGTTATTGTGACCAAAATTATCACGGTTTTCGGTATTATCGCGGTATTTTTTAAATGGTGTTGCATATGTTCAGAAAGCATTGATAGTCCTGTTCTACACAAACTGAAATAGTTCTGAAAAGGTTTAACAGTGTTTATTAAACCTAGAATAACACAAAGCCTTAGCAAAAGTGCAACTTTTCACAAGTAAAGGAACAAATAGCTTATTTTTCTGGAACTTGTTACAGTAGTCAGTGCAGGTTTAAATTATACAAATCCAAACATTCAAAACATAAACAATATGTAAACAAATCAAAGAAACACCACTTGTTTTCTCATATACTTGTTTTCTTCATTATCAAAATGAAAATCTAAAACTCCAGTCCACACTTGACTTGAGCGCTGTACAAGTCAACCTTAAAAAATATGTATTTAAAATAAATAGCCACTTTAAACAAATTACTAAAATAACTACTACACTGTGTAATCAAATCCAAATGTTCAAGTATAAATGGCATTGAATAAGTAAACAAATCCATGACAAGGAACTAATTGTATATTTCTCTTCATCATCAACAAATAAGATGCTTCATCCAGCAACAGGGTGTCCGTGACACGGTTTAAATGCTGGCAGAGGACGCTGCGGCTGCAGTTTATAGTGACTCGTTGCATTCTCCCTCAACCAAAAGTCCTCACGTCATGCATTTTAGCTAAAATGCTAATGTTAACTTACCTTGCACTGGCTGTGGAGACGTAGGTGATGGTCACTCAGATGTGCCTTTAGATTCGAAGTGTTGCTGCCTTTTGCAGACACTTGTTTCCTGCACGTTCTGCAAACGGGATAGCCGTCTTCTATTAACTGTCCCTCAGCATTTTTCAGAAATCCCAAATATGCCCATACTTCCTATTTAGTCTTCTTTGAGGGCTGATGGATGTCCTGGGCGCTGCCGTCGCCTCCTTCGGCCATTATTTCAGCTTCAAAGTTTTGGTGCCGTTGCAAATTAAAAAGTGCGTGTGCGCGCAGCGGGAACTTCAGCTGAAGCGACGGTGGCTGGTAAGGTCATCGCGCCGAAACCGCGGCCACGGTAAACCCACCGAGATAATATAGTTTTTTAAAAACTGGACGGTTATTTTTATTGTCAACTTTTTTACCGGGGTTTACCGCTATACCGGTTACCGTGACAACCCTAGTACCCTCCTTATCTATTAGTTAATAGCCATTTTTACAACCACCTCAATGTGGAAGATGTAATCTACTGAGTACACTGTGAAAGTGATGATGTGTTTTATTACACTTAAGAAGGTAAGTGGTATGCATGTGACCAGCGTTTCTGGGTCGGCTACTCCGAGCTGCAACCTCAGGGTTTTACTAAATCACTTGGAATCAAAATGGAAGGAAAATTGCTAAAACTGTTTGGAACGATTATAAAAACAAAACGAGCCGATAATTTGCTCGTCCCTCTTGTGCTGCTCTGAGCTGCAAATGAAGCGCTCCTCTCACAGTGTTGCCAACTTAGTGACTTTGTCGCTATTTCCAACCGCTTTTCAGACTGTTTAAATCTTAAAAGTAGCTAGCGAACACCCCAGAAACATTTCTGGTAACCCTTAGCTACTTTCGGATAACTGTTGTTGACATTTCCTTCAGGCTAGCAAAACACTCAGCCTGCGCTCCGGACCGTTCTTCAGGACGTTAAGGGAATGATGTAGTGATGTATCGGTCGCAAAAGAAACGGCTCTCAGAGCCAGTGTCGGTGCAGGATCGGCTCGGGGTCCTTCGACTGCCAATGACGTCAAAGTAGTTGATTGGCTGAACATGAAGCTTATGGAAGTGACGTTATCACGTTATGATTTTGATTGGTCAGAACAAATTAGCGGTTGTATTCTTAGCGGTTGTAGTCCTGTAGATCAAAAATCAACACTTTTTGGAGAAAATATGTTTGAATTTCTAAAGGAAATGTAAAATATAAGCAAATGATAAACGGTGACCCTCAAAAGCTCTTGATGTTGATGAAATGGGGCAAAATAAAATATAAGAAGTTTATTGAAAGGCACCAAGTTGAGTCAAATAATGTGTTTAGATAACAACTAAGGAAATATACAGATGAACTCCACATTAATACAAACAGATATGGCTTCACATATAAAAACTGTTCTGTTTTTGTCAGTCCGATGTTGGTTTCATGCAGTTTCACATTCTTTACAAAACAAAGATAATATGGTGTTTTATTAACAAATTACAATTATAAAGAAAACATTTAGGTGTTAACAAACAAGAATGTAATAACAAAACTGCTGATGTCTTTCCAAAATGTATGTGTGAACGCCGAGTAGATTTGCAGTATCTTTTTGCAGATACAGCATATCCACTCGGCTTTCACACTTGAGTTTTGGAAAGACATCAGCAGTTTTGTTAACAAATTCTTGTTTTTTACCACCTAAATGTTTTTGTTATAACTGTAATTTGTTAAAAAACACCATATTATATTTGTAAAGAATGTGAAACTGCATAAAACCAACATCAGACTGCCAAAAAAGACAACAGTTTGTATTAATGTGGAATTTGTCTGTGTATTTCCTTAGTTATGTAAATCCATCCATTCATTCATTTAAAATGTTGCTTGGTGTCTTTTCAATAAAGTTTTTATATTTTATTTTGCTCCATTTAATCAAAATCAAGAGCTTTTGAGAGTCACCGTTTAGCAGCTCATATCTTTGCTTTTCTTTCAATTTCCTTTGGAAATTCAAACATATGTTCTCAAGTGTTTTTTACTACAGGACTACAACCGCTAAGACTACAACTGTAAATTCGT